GGGCCCGCCCACACGCTCGGTCCCCGCCCACAGCGCGCCCTTAGGGTCCGCCCACACGCTCGGTCCCCGCCCACAGCGCGCCCTTAGGGCCCGCCTACACGCTCGGTCCCCGCCTCTTCCCCCGCAAGCTAGCATCCTGGCATTTTTAGTCAGACTTGTAAATTTGTTTTATCGTTGACTTAAATGACTGAAACGAGTGCGACCTCTGACGTAATTATAAAGATTGGCTCTTAAAACTGTGACATCACTATATATATCCAATGAAATGTGAATACTCTTAACAACTGAATACCCGGAATTCTTGAACTCATATTTCCATTCCATGACTCCCACACAATTCTGTCCCAACGTAACATCAACTTTTGGATCATGTCTCCAGCAAAATATATATAAATATGTAAACTGGATTTTTAATATCTTGTGACCACAATGCTCCAGATTTTAAAATTTTTTACATTTATTAGAGATACAAATAGATCAAAACCATATAAATTATGTTTTTATAAGTACTTAATATAAAACTAAAATTTTGTTGCAACACACCTCTTAATACTATGGTTAAGACTATTTTTTCAATCAATTCATGTTTCCAAGGATGAATATTCAATTCTGATTTTTCATGTTTATAGATGTAAATGCTGAGAAAACTTGTTCACATAAATAAGGAAACAAATGAAAATATTAATAGCAATGTCACCCAGGGCCGGCCCCGTGGCTTAGTGGTTAAGTGTGTGCACTCCACTGCCTGCGGCCCGGGTTCGGATCCCGGGCGCGCACCGACGCACCACTCCTCTGGCCATGCTGAGGCCGTGTCCCACATACAGCAACTAGAAGGATGTGCAGCTATGACAGACAACTATCTACTGGGGCTTTGGGGGAAAAATAAATAAATAAAATCTTTCAAAAAAAAAAAGATGTTAATAGCAATGTCACCCAATTCCTTGAACATATTTTAGTTAAATACAAAAATCACACACTGATCTATCATCAATTTTTTTTAACTTAATTTGTATCAGCTATTAATTTGGGCTTTCCTTCAATTTTGGTTGAAAGCAAAGACTAGGAAATCACCTAAATTTCAAAAAGTTTTTTTTTTTTTTGGGTGAGGAAGATTAGCCCTGAGCTAACATCTGTGCCTATCTTCCTCTACTTTATATGTGGGACACCTGCCACAGCATGGCTTGACGAGCAGTGCGTAGGTCCACGCCCGGGATCCACACCTGCGAACCCTGGGCCACCGAAGCCGAGCATGCAAACTTAACCATTATGCCACTGGGCCAGCCCCCAAAAAGATTTTTTTTATCCAGTCACCTGGAATCATTCACTTTCTCAGTTTCTAGAAAGTTTACCAAAAAACCTTTACCCAGATACATTAAATTACTATTAATTATATTGGTTACTCTTTCATTTCAAGGCACTTTTGTCAATAGAATTTTTTTTTTCATAAAAGCCCTTATCGCTTGCTTTTATACATGTTTTTCCCACACCTTGGAGAGCTGCATATTTAACTCACTCAATTTATGGAAAATGTCTACTAAATAATCCAGTTGGTAAATCTTGGCTTCACTGTCAAGCCAATCAGCCAAATTGGAATTAACTATGTTGGAAAAGTCTGGAGGAGTTTTATAAACTACTCCAGAAAAATTCCTACTTCCAGAGAAAGAATGCATCTCCTAAGATCGTGGCTCGTGGGCCCTGCTGGGCTCATCCCAGTCCTCCTGTCCTCCAGCTCGAGTCAGGACCTGGAAGAAGGCTGTCTCCTCGGGGTCCAGCATGAACCAACTCACCAGGTAAGACCCCATTTCATTGGACTTCAGCTTTCCTGTTGAGGGGGAAAAGGAGAGCCCCAGAAACCACGACCCTGTCTGTCTTGAGGGTACACTGTGCTTACTGTGCTCCTGGCCCTGTTCATGTTGGTTGCTACACAAAGCCCACATTCTCAGACCACCCCTCATCTCCCACGCCCCAGTTCCCACAAGGCTCTGCCATATCCCTACTCTCCCCCTTCCCCTTCTCCCACTCACCCCAATGTCTGAAGTCCTTCCTCTGTGCACTGGAATCAGTCCATTGCCAGGAAAATCCTGCGTTCTCAACCTGTTATCTGCACGGCCTGCCACCTCTGCGCCTCAACAGCCCTCTGTGAGGACATGGCCCCTTGCACCTACTCATGCTTGAAATGTCCAGAGTGGATTCTATTTTCCTGACTGAACCCAGACTAGCTGGAGGTCTCAGTGAGGTTGAGGGTGGTCGCCGCCATCCTAGCACAACGCTGCCTGATGGAAATATAACCTGAGCCACAGATGCAACTGTGGACCTCCAGTAACCACAATAGAAAAGTGAAAATAAATAGGTGAAACAAAATTTAATCATGTGCCTTATTAAATCCAGTAAATCCAAAATATTGTCATTTTAACAAGTAACAAAATTATAGCCTTTTGGGGGTGGACAGACTGGTCTGTTAGGAAGTTTGTAGCAGTGAAGCAAGCAGAGGGGGGACCACTGAAAGCATGGGGAGCCCAGAGCCTTGTCAACAGGTGGTCAGTGTAGCCACTTTCGCATTTCACACTGGAGCGCCCCCCCCCTACAGCAACCCCCTGCAGGCCCTGAATGCTGAAGCCCCCAGTTCAGCCCCCACTTCTTTTCACTCTGGACTCTTCCTTGAGCACTGTCACCCCATCCTAGATGTCCACTCTCGCCTTGGAACCAATGACTTCCACATGCACATTTCTCTGAGCTCTGGGATTTCCTACAGCTCACTGCACATCCCACTGGCTGTGAGCACATGCGTCCAAAACTGAAATCCCAGTTGCCCCTCCTGTCCTCTGAATCCTGCTCCCTTCCTCTTTTTATCCCCACATTCACTTCATTAACTCTTCCTGGTAGTTCTGCCTCCTGAATAGGAAATTGATAAAATAATGCAGGCTCTGAAGCCACACTGCCTGGGAGATCCGGCTTTGCTACCAGCTAGCCTTGTGACCTTGGACAGGCCACTCAGTGCCTCTGAGCCTGTTTCCTCACACATAGAATGGGGACAGTAACAGTAACTACTTCAAGAGTGGGTGCCTGTGAGGGAAGCACTTGGAGGTGTGCCTTTCCCAACTGAGTAAATCCCAGCCTGCTCAAAACTCCACCCAACTTTGCCTTTTCAGAAGCACTTCCCAACCCCCACCCCTCCTGGGGTGCAGCCTCTGAGCCCTCCTCCTCCCTGCCAGCCCATCAATGGCAAGACAAGACTGCGTCTTATTCAGTCCTACGTCGTCAGCGTAAGTCGGGCACATTTTTGCTTGAAGAAAGTGTTTTTTGAATAAATTAATGGGTGACGTATTAGATAATGTCTCTTCTTAAAACCTGAAAATGTGGTAATGAGAAGAGGTTTATAGAATTTAAACTGGACTCCATGGCAAGCCAACATAAACTAAAGCTGAAGCTGTTTGGAACATATATGCTAAAAGGGGATAAAATTTGGCTAAAACAATAGCTTTAATAATGGACCAAGTGTAAAGTTCAGTTTTTTAAAACTTTATTTTGCAGTGGGCAAATAACAGAATCACATGGTTCAAATTCAAAGGAAACCTGTGTTATCAGTTTTCTGAATATCCTTCCAGAAATATTTTCAGCCAAATAATACAAAATTTGTAATTTAATCATAATAATTGTAACTGGGGGAATAAGCTAAAACAACAGGTCACTGGCTAGGAATCTAATATGGTACTGACTACAAGGAGCATTTCACAGCCATTCTGGGCAAAAGCTACAGGGTGGAGCAGAGCTCAGGGCCTGGCCAGCCAACAGCTAAACAGGATGCTGCAGGGGCCTGAGTCACAAATTCCAAGAAGGGAGGTGGTGGCGGGCGGGCTAATTGGGAGGCAATTGCAGAAACATTCCCTTCAGTTTTGTGGTTTTATGCTGTACTGTCTCTAAAAGTAAAAGTTTGAACTGGGAAATGAGGATGTAGATGTATTTGAACAATAATTAAAGAAAACACAGATATCAGAAGCTCGAGGCCCACCCTTGCCCCCTACCTCTGGGAACTGGGCCAACAGGCTCTGCAGGACACCTGCTGTGCCCGTTTGTGTGACTCCCTTAGGGGAACACTGGGGCAGGCGTGGAGGGTGAAAACTGGGCATCCCGTTGTAGGTGGGCAGGTGCGGCCAG